GGTGTTGTTCTAGCTGGCAACGGGAGCCGGTTAGAATGTGTGCAGTTGTGGGACTGCACGAGAGTGTTTGGAACTCGCTGAGTCTCAGAACACTGAGTGACGTGTACATATTTTCTATTTTGGAACGACCACGGGTTGTTCTTTGGGTTTTACGGAGTTGGGTATTTTGGGAACGTCACGAGCATACGAAGACTGAGTGTGTCAGTTTGGAACGCGAAAGGAGTTTGTGAAGCATCAGTTTTGGAACGTGAAGGAGTTTGTGAAGCATCAGTTTGGAACGTGAAGGAGTTTGTGAAGCATCAGTTTGGGATGTGAAGGAGTTTGTGAACAATCAGTCTGGAAAGTGAGGAAGTTTATGAAGCGGTAGTTTGGAGTCCGAGGGAGTTCGGATGCGTCGGTTGGGAACAAGAAGAAGTGTTCAAGAGAGATTCGTTGACGATAGAAACGGAGAGTTAAGAACAAGGCACGACAACGAGAAACGACGGAACGTTACGGTTAAAAGGGAACGAGAGCTACGAACGGCTACATCGCAAAGACGTGCTACTTGGCGGCCTTCTTCTGGTCGTCCTCCTCTTCGTCCTTGTCGCTTTCCTCGTCGCCGTCCTCGTGCTCGACGAATTCCTCCTCTTCCTGCTCGTCTTCGTCGTCGTCGTCTTCGGACTCCTCGTCGTCGTTACCTGAAGCGTCTTCGCCGTCGGCCGCAGCTTCCTTCTCTTCGTCCTCGCCTTCATCTTCGAACTCGGACCACTCGTCGCGGCGACGTTCCGTACCGGACGGTGGACGGACAGTTGGAACTTCGTACGTTCCTGCGGTGATCTGGGCCATAATGTCGTCTTGAGCCAACTTGACGGCGTGGTTGTTTACGAGCGTCTGCCACGGTTCCTCGTTCTTCTCACCAGCCCAAGTCACGTTGGGCTTCGTGCTTGACATAGTGTCGCGGCGAATTCGTGCTAAGGCAGCAAGGGAGAGCCGGCTCTTCTCGTCTGCATCCGGATTCAGTGCTTCCGTAGACTCGAACAAGGAGCGCATGCTGGGGTACCCGTAAGTGTCGATATTCGACGGGTCCAGCGCGTTCTCGAGCGTGGCGTCGTAGCGTTCCTTGTCCTTCTGCTTCAGGGTCGCTAGGTCCTCGGCAATGGGTCCGTTGTAGGGACGGCCATCGCGTGTGGCTCTGCCGGGTTGGCCCCCGAGCCAATACATCTCAGGGCGCTTCTCCAACATCTCGAGGAAGGCATAAAAGCCCCATGTCTCTATGCAAATACTGGTGAAGGGCCAGCGAGCTTGGACGGCGCGCATCTTCAGCTTACGACGCTGAGTCATGGCCGCTGCCGTGGCAAGAGGAGCGTGTAGGGCCCACTCCCAGAAAGCACGGCGATGGGTCATCCAGAAACGCCAGTGTGCGCGGTACACCTGACTGAACTTGATTGGATCGTACCACATGGGACGTCCGGTCCAAGGGTACGCAAGGCGCCAGGGCTTCTTACCAAGGGCCTCTGCCTTCGCCAAGATGGCAGCAATCGCCCGACGAACGGGAGCAGGAGCAGAGCGACTCACGTCGAGAAGATGGCCGAACTCGTTTGATGGAACGTGCGCCTTCTTGGGCTTGCTGGCGACGTGAGCCTTCTTAGTGGACGACTTGGAAGTAGAGTCGTCACCGCTGGACTTACGCTTGCCTCGCGCGGGCGACTTAGGCGACTTGGGTGTCTTCTTGGAGGGCGACTTCGACTGCTTGCTCGACGACGTTGTCGACGCCGTAGCAGATCCTGAAGAGGGAGCAAAATCTACCGGCGCGGGGAGGGCCACGACGGTTCCTTGGAGCGAAGCGTCGGTCTGACCGTTCATGATGTCCTCGGCGAGCTGGTCCAAGGACTGGAGACCCGACGACATGCTGTTGGCGCCCAGGCGCGCGCGCAGCTCGGTCCAGAACTGCTGCTCGAAGGCCCGCGCAGTGTCCCCAGGGGTGCCCTGCTCCTCATGGTCAAGTGCGGCGTTGAAGAACGCCCGGAAGCGCCTCAGCTCGGCGGCGGTAAGTCGTGTGGACATGGTGAAGAGCGGATTGTGAAATGAGAGAAATCCGAAAACAGGAAGTTTTCACTTGATGGCTGCCAAGGGGCACGCGAGAAGTTTTGACAGTTGGGACGTGGCGTCGACTGAGGGACGCAATGATGCTTGGTGACCTGGGCGGACAAGGTTTCGGGTGAAGAACCTTCCTAACGGCTAACGGTCTGGAGGATCTGCTGTTGTGACGATGTCACTTGGAAATTGATGACGATGTGGGGAGCGTTAGCGGAATGGGCGGAACAGGCGAACTGGACGATGGACTTCGAAGTGGCGGACGAGATGAGGGTCGTCGGCAGCGCTGTGATGGGGATAGTGATCTGGATTGCAATGACGCCTCTGCGGAACGTGTCGTGGGCGTTCCTCGACGGAACGATCGAGAACGTACGTGCCATCTACTTTTTCTGGTACACTTGCTGCGATCGCTACTTGGTGGCGGCTCGAAACGCCCATGCCGCAGCTGTGCCACCTCCGGAGTACGCGTGCGCGCTAGTAAAGCTACTGTTCTTGGTTCCTATCGCGGTGCTACAGGACTACGAATCCCGCTTTGGGATTACCGGTCGAATGTGCCTTAAGTGGTGTGAGGCGTTCCACCATTCGTGCTGCCTGTACGTTCCAGAGGCGAGTCTTTTGCTATGGGGAACGTCCTGCCGGTACGCTCGTGCCACCAGCGAAGCTGTGGTAGCCGTTGTGGATCGAGTTGGAGATTTTATCGTGGGAAGCTACTTGCTGACATCATTACTACTGTCTATCCTAATCTACCTGCCCCGCCTGGTGTACGAGAGCATCGAGGGAATACTGTGTGGCTGGATGGGAGTGACGCTGGTTGTGTTGATCGTGGACGTCTACCTGGAGTTTGAAATTGGCTGTTGCTACTGGAACTTGGCTGTGTTAGTTGTCGGTTGCTACAGTTACGTGGTGCGGTATTACGAAGGGCTCCGGCCGAGCGCTATGGACCACAATGATAAGGCGGCGAGACGCAAGTGGGAAGGACTGGCTGGTCGTATAGAGCGTCGTGAGGAAAGAGAGCGAGCTAGCGTGGAACGACTGCGAGGCATGCAGGCCGAAGGAACGTCGTCTGGAGTAAGGAACGAGAGTCCTAATGCAAGTGGAACGTCACGTGGGAACGTTCCAGATCTGACTGTGGGAGACACCGTGCGACAGGCTCCGGGCGATGTGGCTCGGCGAGGTCACCGAGCGTCAGTCGGGGAGAATTGGCACGGTGTACAGTTAGACGGTGGATTAACGATGCTGGCTGACTGCCTGCAGAAGGTCTACTCACTCCAGACTCTCCGGACCACGTCCAAGCAAGCGGGACCTGCGGCCAAGACAGTGACGTTCCAAGTGTGAAGTCGTGGAGCAGCTGGTCGTGGCGGGAATTGGAGCTGGACCGCCACGCACGAGGGATCTGACAAAAGGCAAGAAGCTCTAAAAACTCTTAGCGAGGTGAAACGAGGAAGTCAGTCGTGGATTTCCTTCTAACAAGAAACACAAGAATATATCAACTTTTACATTACTATCACAGTAGTGTCGCTAATACTACTACCTCCTACGTCGGCCCAAGATACTCACGACCCCGATTAGAGGAAAACCGCGACAGTTCGCTATCGCAAATGATAAGCGGGGAGAAAAAGAAGAGCATCCCGTAAGAGTCCGGACTCGCCTGTAGTGGTCCAGGATCTTCGCCGCGAGTACGACAACATCACTACGGACACTACCCGCGTACACGTCCTACTAACAACGCACATAGAACTTTTGCCAAACCCTTCTCCGAATTCCGAGAAGATCCAGACCTTCTTCAAAAAGGTCCGCCTATTTGTTCCTGAGAAGTTCCAAAATGACCCATTGTACGACCCGCCGTACGATGAGGTTACAAAGCAGATTCAGAAAGATCGTCAGGCTGCGTCCAAAAAGAAGAAGAGAAAGCGCGAAGCTGCCGCCGCCGCAGCACTGCCGGAGTGACTGAGACTACCGGGAAGGCCATACAAACGGATGCACGAGATGACCAGGGACCTGTCCAGGCTAGTATTATAGTAAGGTTGTTGACGGGAAGGCTGTGTCGCGCACCAAGAAACGCCCTCGCAAAGAAATGGAGTAATTAGTGCCTACTTCAGAGGGAACACGAGTACGAGTTGCCAAAATGTTTCAACCCAAAATATACATTCGATTTTTGAAAATCCAAAGCTTCAGTAGCAAATTTAAGGACAGAAAATTGAGGCACCAATCGATCCCTCTTGAATTTTTTTATTAAGCCGGCCAATAAAAATATTTGAAAATTCTTCAGCAAGTCCGGGGCAACTTTTTCAAAGTCGCTTTTCTCGAAAACGGCTAAATAAAAAATATTTAAGACCCTCATTGTATAGAGGGTCACTCTGAATTTCCAAAGAAAAAAAATAAAACTCGATGGAAATTAATTTACTCCTGTACTTGTGAATAACAATAATCATGAATTCATTATCGAAACAAAGTCTGAAATTTAAAAAGAACGGTTGAAGCTCATTTCATATTGACACAAATCATACCAGTCGTTTTTAAAGCAAACATTTAACCCTTTCGCGACGCTGGCATGTTTTTAAATGTCAGTCTTTACAACACCTTCCCCTAGCTGACAGAATGTTTGTAAACCTCAATACTAATTATAAGTCTATTTCCTTATCGTGTCTAATACAGGATAAACTTTCCGAGGCCTTGCGAAAGAATCCACTTAGGTACGAGCTGAGACCACTTAAGTACGATCTGGGCCGTTTGAAAATAACAGGAATTGTGTATTCGAGTGAAATTCAGTATCCACTTTAAATAGGACCAAAACGGCAAATTTGGTCTGGAATTCACAATATGTGTTGACCACCTCACCGGCCAGTATAATGCGGGCAATCGGTCGCAGTCGGCTCCTGTGCGTTCCGCCATCGTCAGCTCGAGCGCTTGTACGTCTGCACCATTATATGCTGTATAACGTACTTGCACATTCGCACGCCAAGGACCCGATTCTAACTGTTTGTTTATCCGTGTTTCTTTCACAGTCGTCGGCATCTGCCGAGGCTCTCGAGGAGTTGATCGCCCATGCCACTCAGCAGGACGAGCGACCTGCAGGACGCCGACTCGAACTTTCGCGTCGTCTACATGAGTACCAGGCAACTGCTATCGAACGCGCTGCTGAGGTCCACGCGACGGCTGTGGTCCACCCGAACGCAGAGCTGGGGCCTAACGTCCTCGTCGGACCATATTCCGTCATCGGACCAGGTCCGTAACTTTACCTTTCGTATGTTATTGTTATATTTAACTGATATTACTGTAAAATTATTGCTAGATGTGGTGCTAGAGGCTGATGTTCGGCTTCAGAGTCACGTGGTGATCGACGGCAAGACGCGAGTCGGGAGCGGCACTGAGATTCACCCGTTTGCGAGCTTGGGAGGAGAACCGCAGGATAAAAAACATCAATTATTCGATAAGGACGAGTACGAAGACTGGACGCTGACTATTGGCAGTAATTGCGTCATCCGGGAGCATGTTACAGTGCACGGTAGCACGTCGTACTCGCAGGCCCCGACATCCGTAGGAGACGATTGCTGGCTGCTGTGTGGAGCGCACGTGGCTCACGACTCGCAGGTGGGTCGACGAGTTGTGGTCTCGAATAACGTGTGCCTTGCTGGCCACGTGTCGATTGGAGATTGCGCAGTTATTGGCGGACAAGTTGGCATCAAGCAGCATGTGAGTGTGGGTCCGTTGGCGATGGTGGGAGGTCAGAGTGCCGTGGATGGAGACGTTCTGCCGTTCGGGTTGGTTGTTGGGAACCGTGCGAAGCTTGCTGGACTGAATCTGGTCGGGCTACGTCGTGCTGGCGTGTCTAGAAACAACATTAAGCTGCTACTGCGAGTATATCGCTACGTGTTTGGTGCGCTTTCATGCAAGAGAACGGGGTTTGCACCTGCTCTGGAGTAAGTGTCGAGTGGTGATACAAGTTTGCTAGCTTTTGTGCTGACGTTTTGCACAGTTTGGCGTACAGAGAGACTGTCGTTGAACGTGCGTTGGAAGCGAAACAGTTTTTTATAAACGAAGGACTCGACAGTGAGCGGATACCGATGGTACATGAGATGGTATGGTGTTTTTTAGCTTGGATAGTTTGTGAGAGACGTGTACTAATTTATGTTATTTTTTACTTGTGCAGGTGGACTTTGTGGTGACGTCTCCACAGCGCTATTCATCGTTGTGTCAGGCGTCTCCTCCGCATTAGATTTTTAGCCTATAGATTTCCTCGTAATACGAGATATTACTTAAACATTTGAGCTCGAGACAACGGACATTCCGTTCGATATCAGGTGTGTTTCTGTGCTCCGAAGGGTACTGAGTTACTAGAAAACATTGGCACAAGATCATCTGTGAGTCTTGATTTTCTCTCAGTTGAGTGCCGTTGACAGCATCTCATGCCGTGACATGCAACCCCCCGACGCTTCGCTTCCACCAACTATTAGTGTCTGGTGTCTTGAGAACACGCCACTGAAGGTCATTGCACGATGGGGAAGAAAGCGTTAAAGCTCGAGAGTTCTACGGACGGACTGGGGACTAGAAAGAAGAAATCACGACCGCGAAAGTCACTCATGAGACAACATCGACGAGACAGTCTTCGAGCCGAGCAACCGCAGAGTCCTGAGGCCGAATCTCTGCTGAAATCCACAGAAGAGACACAGCCACATCCTAGCAGTCAAAGCGGAAAGTCGAGTCAACCTCCGCCTCAGCGAGCTGAAGAAGACGAAAGCAACGGCAAGAATCAAGCTGAAACGCAACAAAACGAGCCGAGCCCACAGTCGACAGCTCGTCGCTCCACTTTCCTGTCATGGCGCAGTCGGAACTCCACCACGACAATTGTCGAAGATGCGCCGCCAGCGTCGTGTCCTTTGACGTGTCAGCCCTCGAGCTGCTTCATTGGCTCACTCAATGGAACCATCAGCGAGATGCATCTCCCACTGCTCACTAAACTCACAAAAGCTCGTATGGATGCACTTAAAGCCTCTCCAAAGCAACGTCACCTTGAAGTGACAATTGAGCACTCGGACGAGTTACCGTTTGGAGCGTACTCCCACCCACAAGTGCGTGTTCATATCGTCGATAGATGCACTGGGAGAGCGTTGTGTCCGCCACAGATGACAAGCGAAGCCAAGTTCTGGATGGACAATAACGCGAGCTGCAGTAAGTAACCGGTTGCTATGAAACTTTTGAGTATTACTCACTTTGTTATCAATTTTAGATGCTTTCGAATGGCAACAAGCGCTGAGTATTTCTGTCGACATGCCGACGTTTCTAAACACCCGAACAGTGTTATTATTTGAAATTCTAGAGGTTAAAGCTCCGTCGAAAGGAGTTCGCTTCCGGAGAGGGAAACGCTTTGAATCTGTGAGTACACACGACGAAGATGACGAGTACCCGAAAGCTTTCAATCCGACTTCTAGACTGGACTATCGACGCATTGCATGGGGCTTTTTCCACACTATTACCAATAAGGGAACTCCAACGATGAACTCGTTCGTGCTTCCAGATATACCAGACGCTAACGAGAAGAAGAAAAGGCAGTCGATCGTCGACGTTTGTGGGTTGCGAGTGCGATTATTTGAGTACCAAGTCATGACCTGGATGGACAAATATCAAGCCAAGTTGCAGTGGGGATGGAGAAAGAACCACCCAACTGTGCCAGTTGTGTTTCTCCAGTACCAGAAGCGCTCCCGTGTCTCTGCACCGAGCACGCTACATGTGCAGCTACGAGCCACAGGCCCGCCAGCAGGGGCTTTAGAAACGACGAACGGGAGAATAGTCAAAAATACGGATAAGGAGCTGAGTACAGCTGCAGAAATTGAAGCTGGAGACAACCAAGAACCGCCAACTGCGGTCTCTGCACCAGATACTGGCAGTCAAGTGGCTGCTCCTGAAGCCATTTCAAGCGATTCGTTCGATTTAATGGCGCCATGTAAGAGGAACGCGTCCGAGCCGTGTTTAATTCCTCAACGAGTGCTTTATTCTCTTCCGTCGGGGAAGAGAGGGTGCTCTGCTGTGAGTTTTAGTCCTTGTGGACGGTTCCTAGCTGCTAGTGTGAGTCCCGAACTCGGAGATTTTGTGGTGCAAGTGTATCATATGACATCTGCTGAGCTCTTCGCTGTGGGTCGTGGCCATCGAGGAGTGATCTACTCGTTACAATGGTGTATCATTTCTAATGGACAGTATCGACTCCTCTCAGCGTCATCAGACGGCAGTGTTCGTCTATGGAATCTTCCATGCAAGAATGAAGTGAAGTGTCCCGAGTCTCACCGCACTCTTTTACTCTCGTTGGTGTATCAGTGGCACCACTTTCCGAGCTTCGTATACAGCGCTATATTTCTTCCTGGAAGTACTGGAGAGATCGTACTTACAGGTGCTTCCGATGGCTGTATGCGCTTCCGGAAAGAGTCTTCCGTAATGAATGGACAACCTGAATACGGAATGCTCCAGGTGAGCTCTGCTGCTGTACAGGCTATTTGTGTGGAGGCCAAGTCCGGACGAGTCTTTTGTGGAGATGCTAAAGGTGAAATTTCAGTATGGAGACGCACAGCAAACGCTTCGACCCTGGACGGCTATGAACGCATCAAGACGATCCAAACTGGCCAGACGAGTATCACTTCGCTTGAGCTGCACCCTCGAAAGGCTCACCTGCTGGCTCAAACACAACCAAACGCCATTTTTCAGTACGAGTTGCGGTCTTATCTTCTGCTGAACAAAAGTTATGCCGGTGTGGCGTGCGAATCTTTGCTGGTGAAAAGCACATTTAGTCCGGACGGCAAATTGGTCATTAGTGGGTCGGAAGATGGCGTTCCTCGGTTGTTTACCAGTTTGCATGGACAGCAACTACAACGTGGTGTCTGGGGTACTCATTTCTTCCACGAGTACCCTGTGTTGGATGTGAGTTGGTCACCTACGGCGCATATGGCAGCACTCTGTTCTTATGGTAAAATAACGTTATTTTGTGTAACGTCGTGGTGGCTACTAACGTTATTTTGTTGATGATTTAGGAGGGGACAATCCGATTGTGGTGCTTTGTTCGTACCGAGGCGTAGAAGATGCTGTGTACATTGATGAATCTGCTTCACAAGCCACGCCGAATACGACGACGAACCTTCATCTGGCTGTAAATGTCTTCCGAGGAGCGAACCAACTGGAAAGATTCAGTGGTGACCATGCCCAACGTCTCCAGCGAGCGCTGGAACGGCGTCAAAAGCGTCTACAAGCAAAGGTATTGATACGTGACAATTGTTTGGTTCTTTGACCTCGTCGTAGTAATTTCCAGCGTTTTGGTCGATATAGTTGTCTCTGGAAGCCGAGGCTAGTACGGGCCAAAATAGCAACAACCTGACGTCGTCTGTTGCAGTGTAAATTCACCAGAACCTCGCTAAAAACAACATCAATACTTTGAACTAATGCAAATAGTTTCTATTTATACTAAAATACTAACTTCGCAGCTATTGAACTCACGTCGCTCTGTCAGTCGCGATGTCCGGCGGGCGTGATAATGCTCGCCACCACAAGTCCAAGGAAGCCGCTCGCCATCTATCGCAAAGTCAGCTTGAAATTCTGACCCTAGCGTCAATATTTCGTGAGACGGGGGGTCCTTTATCCAACGAAGAAAGAAAAGGTACAACGTGGACTCTACAAACGGGTTGGGACAAAATCGTAAAAGTCTCGACAGCTCTCATTGATGGAGGCATCCAAGATAACGACGATGGAGTCGGCCTTTCCGTCGGTATTCGGCGTGAAGTGGGAGCATAACCATGTCGTGGCCGTCGATCTCTCGGGCAACGGACTGTCAGGGTCTTTCCCTGCTGAAATTGTCCAGTTACGCTTCCTCACGACGCTGAAGCTAAGAAACAACCCAAACTTACGTGGAAAATTACCCCCTGAAATCTACTCGATGCCCCACCTCAAGTACTGTTATATCGACGGCACAAGGATTGAAAATACTCTTCCGTACAACATTGCACACTCGTTTGAAATCACCCACGTGAAACCAGATTCATCAGGACGATCATCCAAATCCACAGTATCTACAGTTAGATTTTGCACAGGGAGCAACCACATTATCCGTTGGATGGCCGACATGACTGAGTCAGAAATGTTTATGGTGCATTCAACACTCAAGAAGATGCATGAAAATACCAATGGCCAACTTGGGCGCCAACAGATCAAGTGTACAGCCAGCAACGCCACGGGACCCGAACGTGCAGCTGCGGCCACGAAGCTCCAACGCATCTATCGAGCTCGCATCGAACGGACCAAGTTCCGCCACTTCCTACGCTCTCTTGTCGAGATCAAGGTCGATCCTACCTCGGGAAACACTTACTACGTCAATGCGCGGACTGGCGAAGCAACTTGGAACAAACCGAAGTTTCTTGGTTCTGGAACTGAAAATACAATCTCCAGCGCTGACGGACCACAAGACACCGCGCCAGATGCACGAGAAGCTTGGAAACCTTACGATGATGACTACGGCAACACGGTAAGTATTCTTGAATGCGCTGTCTAGTAGAAATACTAATAATTTTCTGCTTCAGTACTTCTGGAATAGCATGACAGGAGATTCAACGTGGGAGCCTCCAGCTTTCCTTAGTCGCATATACGAAGAGCTTGGAGGACGCTACGGTGTTGACAAGACGGACGAAGAGCGATTTGAACTCTTCTTCCAAGATATCGATCGCGACGGCACAGGGGAAATCGACCAAGACGCGTTCGCACGATTGTGTGGCGATTTGGGCATGGCGTTGTCTGCGAAACAGATCCGACAAGTGTTTCTAGAACTCGACACCAGTGGCGACGGCCAACTCGATCGTCCCGAGATCATCGCGTGGCTCACTCGAAATTTCATGTGAAAAATTACAAACTAGATTTCAAAATAACTTCCAATGTCTCTCTATTCCTCATCACAGAGGAGCTGCAGCAACTTCTCCGAGTCCGCGATGGTGCGGGTCAAGCCAATGATCTGATTCCCACTGACGAGGTACGTGTCCGTGCAAGCGCATTTGACTGCAGGAGGCTCCGAGTCGTCCAAGTCAGCGACACTTTCTGATCGTCGGAAAGTTGCGTCAAACTCGACAATAACCGAGTAGCCAATTGCCTGGATACTCTTCTCTTCGACGGAGACGACATCCAGACACTGTTTAAATAACGAGGCGTACTTGATGACGCCCTGGTCTCCATGGTATGTCCCCCAGAACGGCATCTCCTCCGGCACTTCGGACTTAAGGAAGAAACTCGCAGACGTCACTGGACCCAACAGGTTAATATCGGGGATAACCAGATACGGGCCACCTCGACTCTTGGCCACGCACTCGACCAACGTCGTGTTGGCAGCTTCGTCGATATCGCTGAAGCTATTGCGCGACATTCGCGTCCTGTTCACAGCGCTCTGCATGACTTCAAACCACTTCATTCTCGTCGCATCGGACCGGGTGACAAAAGTTAACGTCTCGTCCTCTTCGCGATGGCCGTCAAAGACTTCCACTTGGAAGCCGAAAGCGCCTCGGTCTCGTTTCTTGACGCTGCGACCGAATGCGATCCACTTCCTAGCGTTGCACACGACCAGTTTCTTCGGTCTCGATGTCCACGTTTGGGTATGCGCCATCAAGAATTGCTTCAGCATCGACGGAGACGTGGCCTTGGACACGTCAGTACTCGACGATCCAGATGTCGCGCTGGCTGCGTCTTCTAACGTCAATTGACACGTAGATTTCTCGAATTTCAAGTGCACTTTCGCCCACTTGGAGCGCTTCTGGTACGCGTAGCCACTCACGAAGAAATCGTCTTCCTGTACATCGAACGACGTGGCCTCGTCGGACTGCAGAATGTCGATAATGGACTCTGGAAATTTACTCTGTGACCGGCTCTGGAACATGTCGCTGGGATGCACCGCCTCGCTTCCTTTGGCCAGATTGTGGGACGATCCGAAGCCTTCTTTCTCCATTGGCAGTCGTCGAAACGGCTCCAGCTCTCGTGACAGATATTCACTAGCGGAAGACGACGGGCGAGCGAGCACAAGGCCCGTGTCTGCGTCGTCTTCGCTAGTGTTTCGCTTCCTCGGCGTCCCATTGCGAGCGACAACTTGCAGTCCGAGAAGCGAATCGTCCAGCGCATCCATTTGCTGATAATGCGTAGCAACAAGCGACGCCGCGAAGTCATTCCAACCTTTGACGTTGTTGCAGAATTGGCGGATCAGTTCCTGTTGGAGAGTGGGCGAGCTGCAAATCTTGGCGATTTTCACTCCAATGATCGCCAAATGCGCGTCGTAAATGTGCGTCGCACTGTTCGCGTTTAACTTGTGTGTAATAAACTCCAGAATCGAGTCGGGCGAGCGGAAGACACTTCGCAGCAGCGGGTTGTTCACTCGTCCGTTTGAAGACGGTCGGTTCAGTAGATTCAAGTACAATTTCACTAGTCGACAGTGCAGGATGCTGGCTTTCGGGAATTTCTCGAAAATGTCCATCAAGGACGTGGCAAGGTCCAGTCGAGTCAAGCGACTGTCGATGCGATCATTCGACATGAGAATAACAGCGTCCAGCAGCTCCACGACATGCACAACAAGCAGAGTAGACGCCAATGGTCGGTGGTTCACCACTGCCTTTCCCGATCTGGGCGAATAGCTGAGAGCAGGAGGCGATATCCCACCATACAACGTACTCCGTGCAGGTGCCGCGTCACGTTTCGTGGCCTTCTGAGGACTCTCTTTATCGACCAGTGCATCAAAGTCGCCAGTGCCAGTACTGTCGTCATCCGAGTCGCTGTCACTGAAGCAATCTCGAGCTGCAAACTCCGAGATCGTGGACAAATGCTGATGGTAGTTGATCGACGCGCAAATGGTGTCCAGAACGAGATGAACCGGCGCAACGAACACGTCCAGCTGGTCGGAATCGAAGCGAGAGAACTCAATTGCATGTCGTAAGACGTCAACTATCAGGACTCGAGGGATACACGTCCCGTTCGTGTGGTGTGCGTCCAGAAACCGAAGTTCTGCCATCCCAAGTTCCGCCAGTCGAGCTAGAATCGTGCTGTTCTCGGTCAACGCGGCTATAACCGCACACTTAAGTTTGTGATGCATGGGAGGGTCATGCGGGGCCATTCTCGGTGGGAAGAGCTCCTTTTCGAAGGCCTCGACGCTCTCGAACGACGACAGCTGAATCCTGGTCTGGATAAAATACCGGAAAGTATTCGGGAACTCGTCTTTCAAGATCTTCGTCAGGATCTCAGCACAGCCACTGATCCTCCCGTGAACTGTAGACGTCGTGTTGGTACTGAACAAAGACGGAGACAGCGGCGGCGTCTTGGACGCGAAGAAAGAAGACGGCGACATAGCTGGGGACCCTCCGAAAGATGATCGTGGTGATTGAGACGATGTGGACGACACTGTCGACGTGGAAGAGACCGAAGACAGAGACCTGGAGAGTCGAGTCGGTACCTGCTCCACTATTCGCTGTACAAGGCATCGAATGATGGGGAAATACGCGAATCCGCGACGGATAGAGAGGTGGATCAACCCATGTAACAATGCCGTAACATCTGGGTTGTACACGTGCACTGCAAGACGTGACAGTAGCCACTCTTTGTCGTCCTGTTCGTTCTCGTCACATATCAGCCTGTGAACAGTTGGAAAAGTGACGAAATTCTTGGTAATTCGACACATATTCGCCACTAAAATGCCGTCCAGTTCCAACTCATCTGCCATGGAATTCTCCGCATTCTCGGCGACGGTAATTGGCCACAAAAAGCGGAACAATCCTCCAAAAATGCGCTTCCACTCGCTGGCAGTTAAATCCTCGAGACGTAACAAATATCCACGTGTCGCAGGGTCTTCTTGGTCGTCTTCTCCGTACACACTAAAGTCCGAGATGCTGCTTCCCGAACTCTCAAACCGCATACTCGCACGTAGGCGTTGGATTCTGGCCATTTTTCTAGTCGACGCGTTGCTTCTGAAGTCCATTATGGTCGGTAAGTTTGTCGGTGGGGCTGTAGAGGACACAGCGAGGCCTTCCAGCTTGACACTAGGCTGTTTCGGAGTTTCTACGTGTTGTTTCGCGTCCTTTTCCGACTCGTGTGGCTCCTGTTTCGGTTCTCCGTACCAGGCCATGACTTTTAAGTAGAATCGGAGGATAATCTCTGTGGCCACATACGCCTGTCGATATTTATCTGGATGGGGTTCTGCATTTTCAGTTAAATGGTCGCTGAAGGATGTAGCAAAGCCGAATACCTGTTTGATGGACTCTGGCTCGAGTAGAAGCTTCTGGACGGGTGAGAAATGTCCCCGTTCTCTTCTCTGCACGGTGGTGAGCACTGTATCGACGTCGTAGCAGCTGCAGAAGACGTTGTCCAGGGACGGCGCATGACGTAGCGCCTCGCCGTTGTGCAGCGCCTGCGACGCCTTCAGTGGGTCGTGTGCAGTCTTTGTGAGCTCCAGTAGTGACATGGACTTGGCCCATGTAGCTGGAGGCACGAATGGTACCGAATTGCTTCCAGAAGTGGCCTCGTTCGTGTTTGTTGCATCGGTTTGAGACGCTGCGAATGTGGCGGGGGACGACATGGTGCGTACTGGCTCCGCGAGACCGCCGACTTCACTCTCATTGTCCGAGTCAGACTCGGTCTCGGCCGCGCACGTGCATTGACGCGTGAGCTGCAGCGTCGAGGCCCCCGTGGACAGCATCGCACTGCAGTGATGAGATGTTGCGCACAGGTTTTAGAGAATGAAAAGTGAATGAACCGGTTTAGGTTCTGTGTCAACTTTTTGTGTCGCAAATTGAAAACCATACTGAGAACAAGACAAAATTGGTCATTGATCGAATTGTACATGTAACAAACTGATGTAACAAACAAATTGATGAAAAGTTGAAGGGGTTTGAGTGGTTGCTGCTCACATGCAGTCACATATAGCGAGCACAATCGAGTTGGAGTGGCTGTCCTAGGACTATCCCATCGTCGTAAGCTGGTAGTTGCCATGGGGGTGAAGGAGGTGGCGAAGACAAAAGAGGCAGCGACGCTGAATTCTTTTCGAGTCAGAAGTGCACCCACGGTGGTCTCCACAAGTCGACAGAATCCAGGCGCTGGTCGGACCATCGCCGACGTTTTGCCAAAGTGCCTTCGGGTGCACTTAGTCCAACCGTGCTGTCTGTTCAGGATGAAATTGATCGCGTTGTTTTCCATTCGAAACTCACTACGAGCTCACAAATATTCCTTGGACGTGACAATGAATCATTGGAAAATCAACAAAATCTGACATGTCAGGTTTTTATATTCACATCACGATGGCGAAGTCTATCTCTTCTGGTGGTTGACGAAGCGCAGAGCCAGTAGAGCCAGCAGTCGATACACCCCGATGAATACAAAGATGTATCCAAAGTTGCTCCAGATCTGCGCGTGTTTGTACTCAAAGTTCGTCTCCACATACTCCTTCACCGTCGTGTGGCCGAGTGAACTTGGCGCGTTGGTCAGTTCGTGGCAGGCCAGTAGACCACTGCCACCTTCGTATTCACCAGTTGCATCGTTCCACGTCGGAAGCTCAGGGCAGTCTGTAAACACCAGCGCGTTCAGCAACCTCATCGAGTATTTTTGCGGTGTGATGAGGTACAACCAGTGATAACCACGAGGGATACTTGCAGCTGGTGGGTTAAAGCCCGCGAAAGTGAGACAGATTGAGTTGTACAGCACTCCCAGGATAGCAGCGACCTCCACAGTGGGCATCGCGTAGATGAAAAGCTGACCCAGATATGTCTGCATGAGGACGAAAAGTGCGTTCGCAATCCAGAACATGAAGCCCGACGCCACGTTCCTGAAGCCAACCGAAGGGTAGAAAATAAGCGTGAACAGTGCTGAGCTGACGAAGACGTACGGGATTTCAGCAATTGTGGACCCCACAAAGTACCACAGACAGTTGTAGGTCTGTGATGCGCGCTCACGGTAGTACGCCCCCCGTTCTGCGAAGGAGATGGGGAGAGTGCCTGTGAACGAGATGACACCGTTGAACATGGACGTCATGAACACCATCGCGATACCGGCGTTGATCTCTTGATACGTCTGGTACGATTTGTTGGCGAACACGACAGCGAACAAGACGCCGAGACCAAGAGAGATCGCGAATCGAGTGATGTTGTACGTCGGTGTACGCCAGTAGCGGTCGTTAAAACGCTTGAGTAGGAAGCGCATTTGAGTCATCGAGCTGGCAGCTCGTTTCTTGTTGAACATCATCTCCGGGAGATCAGGACTGGGACGAGTCAAACCAGGTCGATCCAGTTGCGCGTCCAGAAGGCGCTTCTCCTCACTCTCTTTGAAACATTTCACAAAGTCCGTTGTGTTACTGGAACTGTTGCTCACACCGGCACCGATCACCTCCAGCATCCAAGACGCAGGGTTCTGTTCCTTCGGACATGGCGACGTACCGGGGATGGCTTCCAGATAGTCCACTCGTCGTCTGGATCGATGCACGATACTGTGCTTGATGTGCCACGACGTGAGAAGCTGTTCTCTCCCGTGACGATCGCCTTCCAGGACTTGCACTACTTTGTTCCGAAACCAGGCAACCCGAAGGAATCTCTCGAGCTCCTCAAGGGTGTCAGTGGCTTTGCTGAACCAGGTTCTCTCGTTCGCTTCGTATCCATTGAGTAAAATCTTGCCCGTGATCTTGCCACCAGTCTTCCGACCCGCAATCACATCCATCAGCGTCGTTTTACCTGCGCCGGAAGACCTTATTGCCAGAGTTCTTGGGAGTTGTGGTCAGCACGTAGTCACTTGTATCTTTGGTAACATTGCTGCTACTGTCTTCTTTTGGCTTGAGAGACACGTTAGCAGGACCATCGTATCGCTTGTATTCGAGGATAAAGGCACCCGTTGCCATGAGGAAAATGTAGAGGCCAATCATGTAGATGATACCTGTCCACACCCAGTTATGGTTCGAAGGCACAGCGAACTGTTGCAGGAAATACCCGCCCATTGTCAAATTGTACTGCGAACAGTAGTCCACTCCATCGTACACACACACGTCGAATGTCTTGGATCGATACTGGTTCACACACAGCGCACGCAGCGACCAGGAGTCCGGAACGAGGTAGTAAGCCCAGATCAACCAATCCGGCATGACGTTCTTGGCCATCACGAAGCCTCCGAAAAGGTTAAAAATGACGATAGTGAACGTGGACATGGGCTTAGCAATGTTGAACCCGGGACAAATAGTAGTCAGACAGAAGAACCAGGCGGCGTATACGAGGTTCGTGAGCATCATAATGATCAGGAAGATGACGAAGTGTCAAGCGTGTGGAACAAGTCCCGCCATCCAGTACACCAGTGACCCGAAGACGATGCTCTCGCCAATAGCTTGAGGGATCAACGCCAATGAGTTCGCGATGGCAAACGACGCCGATCGGTAGAAATTAGCCGAGCGATGTTTGTAGAAAATGTCCCGTTGCCGAGACTCATGAAGATCGTCGCCTGGAACAGAACCCCGATGGTCATCTGTGCGTCCTTCGGGTCGGTCTGGTAGAAGGTACTACCGTAGATGAGACCCATGACCACCACCATCAACGCTCGGACGTAAATGAACGAAGTGTTGCGCTTCGTAAGTCTCCACTGACGCGCCGTGACGGTCTTGGTGCTCTCCTAGAAACTTTGACGGAACTCCGGCATATGTTTCATGTGTTCTTCGACATCCTTCAAGCGCTCGGGGTCGTGAGGAGCGTTGATCGCCCCGATCAAGTCAGCGTACAGCGGAGACTGACGCCAATAGTCCGAGAACTCGCTAGCTAGACGAGGGGGTTGAGTCATCCCCATCGGCAACTCAACCTGATACTTCTTCTGCATGGTCGTGCCCAAATCCAGCAAAAAGTCAGCAGCATCACGACGAGGTGGACACTTTAACCCTAGGGTCTCAAAGTAGGACACAGCGTGGTTTCGAGGACCGTGGTAGACGATTTCGCCTTGATTTAACACCATGACGTTGTCGAAGAGGTTGAACACTTCCGGTGCAGGTTGCAGTAACGCTATCACGATCGTCTTGTGGAGGCATTTGGCGATACTTCGCTGCGTCGTGATGATATTGAAGGTCGCCGCACTGTCCAGACCAGTACTGATCTCGTCCATGAGCGTCATGTATTTCATACCAAACTCCATCTCACCCGTAGTCACGCGCTTACGTTCACCACCTGATACACCACGCAGCATGCCACTGCCAATGATTGTGTCCTGGCAAATATGCAGACCGAGTTGCTCAATGACCAGGTCTGGGTAGTTTTCGAAGTACTTCGTAGCTGTCTCTAGAGCCTCCGCGTTTTGCTCTGGTGTACCATTACTCAGCATCTTCTCCGTATGCTTCGGCATGCCGCCACCGCAGACTGCATAGGCGAACTCCAACGTCTCTCGTACTGTGAGTTTGGGAAAATGCTTGTCGAATTGTGTCAAGAATTGAGAGAGCAGCTTTGTGATCTCCTCTCGAGACACACCATTGTACGACACATCCCCCTCGATCTCGACATTCCCGCTTTTAGGGAATTGACCGGCAAGTACACGCATCAAAGATGTCTTGCCTGAGCCCGGTTGGCCCAGCAACAGAGTGATGGTGCCCGGTTTGAATACACCGCTGACGTTCTTGATGATCTCCTTCTGCACCACGCGCTTGTTCCACGCGAACTTGGCGAGACTGCGCTTGATGGAGTTGAATACCGTCGGCAGCTCCGACTCGGCCGTGATCTTACCCGTCACTGTCACGTTGGCTGTGACGCTCAAGTTTTGGTAGCGTACTTCCATCTGCGGTAGTTCTCGTCCCATTGCGGCCTCGAACTTGTCGGCTATGAAGCTGTGCAGCGCGTTGGGGCCGTGAGCCATCATGGCTTTGTTCGAAGTCAGCGTGTCGGAGCCAAAGTGAGCAGCCACCTTGTCCTCCATCTTGTGAATTGTCCTTCTCGCCAGTCGATTGCGTCTGTGCCCGACTCAGATGTGTTGGGCCTGGTGCAAATTGAAAAATGAGCTAAGCCATTGCAGCAAATTGATCATGCGACAACTATGGACCTTTGCAGGTGGGCTCGCAAACTGGATTGCGCGCATGCACGTCGTCGTTTGACAATTTGGCCCGCAAACGTTTGCGCGCCACGATTAGTACTTTTGTACATGTACAGTACAAGTACGGTACTAGTATTAATATTAGATTAATAAATCAATAGTATTAATACATGGACTGTACCATACTACTGTACCTCGAAGTACATTTTTGATGGAAAGTTACCTCAGATAGTTTTCTTGGATCATATATCAATCTCGCGCAGCCATGGCAAAGCAGGGCAAACGCAAAGAGAAAGCAGTCGCTAAGGACCAAGAGCAAAAGGCACCACCACCCAAAGTTGCAAAAACAGCCTCTGTTTGCGAGTACTGCGACAAGGAGTTTACTACTCGAGGGATCCCTCTTCACCAGAAGAAATGCGCCAAGAAACAAGCGCATGACAAAGCTGAAGCCAAGAAGACCCGGTCTTACAAGTTTTGTATCGTCAACGAGCCCATTCACGAAGAGATCCTCTCGTTCTTGAGCAATCAGGCACTCACCAAGATGCAGATGATTACTGGCGATCGATACCAGCACTGCGAGCCTTTGTTGGCGAGATACTGCTGCAAATGTGAGAACGATAACCCCGTCATTTCTAACAAAGGTCTGTGTCGAGAATGTGAGACGAAACGGGTTTACATGTATTATCCTCGCGCACATCACATAGACAAGCATGAGGCCAAGGACAAATACGGAGTGCGGGAGAAGGATCTCACAAACATCCACAGTACAATTCCCCACTCCTATGATTGCGTTACATTGGAGAATTACATGATTCAATTGTGTGGATCGAAGATGGAATGGATAAGATATCTTGCTAAAAGAGACATGAGTAAGAAGAAGGCGCAGGCTACACGGCAGCAGAGAGCGAAGGAGGCGGAGGCTTTGTTGAAGTCGCTGGCACCTGGATTTGCACCCTATATCTGGGCGATCGGCTTTAAGAAAACGGACGAGGAGCTTTTGAGGCAGTGCAGCCAGCGTTTCATTGCACTCAAAGAGAAGCTTAACGAACGTGGACTTAATCTGCGAGCGAGTTCTACGCTTTGCAGCGATTACGTTACCTCTGGGGGAGGAAATATCGAAGATGTTGTGAGAGACACGGAATCTGCGCAAAGCTCGAGTATCCAGAAGTAAGCTCGATAAAAAATTGAAGGGCGTAGTGTGACAACCTTTTCGTAGCGAATAATACGTGTTCGACGAGATCTAAAGGCTAAATACATCGTGTTTTTGTTGATTTCATATTGATGCGATAGGACCTATTGTGCATTTCAATGCATTTGTCCTTTTCACTTAGCCTGGTGCTCTATTTATAATAAATAGAGATCGGTTTATTAAATCGACGTCGATAAAAAGCACAAATCGATCTTGCTTAACTGGCTGATAAATCGAGCTACGACAGTCAAATCGACCGCTCGGGATCGAACAACCACCAAATTCACATCGATATCCTGTAAATCGACACTTTTTGCCGTTTTGAAATGGTAAATCGATCACAGATAAAACAAATCGATGCCTGTCTCTCCCATCTCATTTTTACGCGTGGTTTAATGCTCCGACCAAGCTCAATCTAGGCTATAAAACGGATGGACACTCCATCTCAGTAAATGGGCGTCTAACAAATCCGTCCTCCTAAATCGTGGACCCAAATTAATTTCGGCAGGACTACTCCCGAATTTAACCCAACTAAAAATTAAAAAAGGGAGTGAGTAGTGCACCCAACTCAGCGTCGTAAATCGCGACCAGATTTTCCCCTACCCCAGAAGAGGCCTGGTCGACAGAAATTTCGATATCCGTCAAGTATGTATACGTGTATATCATTGTCAACTACCACTCATTCCGAAAGTGAGGGGGGAAACAGCGAGAGCAGTATGGAAGCCACTAGCGCGGGCTGCTGTGCGTCAAATGCAGCCGGTGCTGGAGGCTTGGGGAGCCCGCGAAGCGACCACTCCGAGCCTCAGTGTATCGGGTGTAGCGATGAGGAGTGGATAGATTCAACTGAGGAGTCGTCGGCCACTTCCAGCACAGTACACACGGATTCGAGCGACTCCATACCGCAAACAACAGAGGCACCACCCCTTCAGCGCACTCAATTTGATTCTTGGGAAGACCTGGAGGGCTACCTTAAACAGTATTCAAGGGAAACGTATCAGGTACACTTGACTGTATTTGTTATCGCTGCTAGCCAGGATTCACATTAGAAGTGGCATAACTTCTAATGAATTGTTTGTTTATTGTGACTAAATAGTGTTTTAGAGCCCGGACGAACAACAAAGCCGAGGTCCGGAACAAAATTATCCGAGCAAACCCCGGCTCGAAGCAGCCAATTCTTCCGGATGAATGAATTTACTACGGCAAGACATTTGTTGTACCCATGCTGGTAAGTACAAGGCACGAGGACAAGGGAAGAGGAAGCGAGAGCAGTCGAGGTCTAATGAGTGCGATGTGCAGGTGCGATATATGTAGTTTCCCTGAGTTGGGTCTCAGTTGGGTACCATTGTATCAGTTGGGTGTAATTTGGGTGGTAGATTGTCTAATGGCATGCATGTGTTGTGTACGTAGATTAATGCTTGCGTGCAAGTTGTCGATACTACGGTACCTACATTTTCGCTGCGGATTACTTCGACGCGCTTGAAGCATAATCATCCTCTTCACAAGCACACATTTGAGCAGTACCCACATAATCGAATAGCTCTGGAGCCAGAGGTCGTTGGGACAGTGAGTGAGCTGCTGAAGGCTGGCACCAAGAAGAAGCGAATATTGCAGTACAATTTACGATCTTGGACTAGATGTACAAACAGACAGTTACAGCTGTGGGGTTAATGTGCTCCTGGTGTTTGAACTATTTTGCGGTGCTGAGCAACTTGGGTATCTGGACAAAAAGACATTACAGCTTCTGCGATACCGCTACATACGCATGCTTATCGAAGCGTAAGGAACCAGTTGTACAACAACTTGTAGGTGCTCAGCGTTCAATACACCACTACTTTGTTTTGCTTAGAGTGATGTTGTTGTTGTTTTTGTTTGTACTGGTTGGAAGGAACGACATGAAAATCTAACGCTCTAACTTCGCCCCCAAACGCGCTCAGCTTCGGACTTTGACATGGCGCGCACATTCTTAAGTGTGTCTTTCCGGCTATACACGCTTGATGTATACAATTTTGCACTGGCTTCTTGAGTTGGGCGCGTAGTTGGGAGCAGTATGGGGGTTTGTTTGGCTCGAGCTGGGCTCGTATTAGGCGAGCTGTGTTCAGATGGTTGCAGCAGCCTCGTCACATATTTTTCAGTTGGGTGCAGCAAAGAGTGCCAATAAAAAAAGGGCTTTGAAAGACTACGGTTATCGTTTTTTTCGTCAAGACAAAACTACTACGTAGTACTTATTAACAAGGCACGTGCTCCTGCGCCCAGATGAGAATCCTGAGACGAGACTCCTGCGCCTAATCACGCCCACCAGAAGCCCAAGCGTGGCCATCAGGAACACAAACAGCTCCCAAACGTAACCCAGATCATTAAAGGACGCTATACACCCTCATCGTATACCCGGATAGAGCGGTGCCGTACTTAGACGGGTCTGTGGTGAGACTTAGCGTTGGGAGACACAGAGCTCGTCCATACATGTACTAGAGTCGCAAGGATCACTTGTCGAGATTTAATTGTCGCCGGATGTGTCCTTCACTGTTTTCTTAATATAACACCACAATTATCATAACGACCAGAACAAAATGTATTACGCTTAAACTAAGTCTATTTTCCTTGCTCAAGCTTGCATGCACATGTGCAAGTATCTGTATCTCAAAACTGTAAAGTTTTTTTGTCTAGGTGACCAAGTGGCTCACCTCCACAGAACACTTCAAACGCCAGTAGGACGTAAGCACCGCAGTTGTAGCTGTCCACTTGAACGCCAAGTCCGGACTCGTACGTGTGTACTCGTGGCCGCGGTCTTGCTAACTGTGGTAATAGCATGATCAGTGTCTGGGCCACTAATCAAACAGGAAGATGAACTAGAGTCGTAGATAGCTACACTCCCTTTCTCGAGGTTCATTATCACAGAGCACCAATGGTTCCCGTTGCAATTCACAGGGAACAAATAATCTCCTTCGAAAAGCCTGCCAGATTTCTGCGTATAGTTTCGTGGTCCGCCAAGATTTTTCCATCCACTACGACCCCCAGGGTTTCCGAGTCGAATATATTCACGTTGGGATTGAGGCCGAACCTCTTGGAAAACACCAAGTGCATTATTTCGTAGGATAAACACTCTTTCGCAGTAAGGTCCAGCTCTTGTGCCTATTAAGCCAAACTAACAATGCATTAGTATTATTCATTTTCAAAAATATAGTAAGACGATTGATACGTACCTGCGCTGAAAAGAGAGGAATAGCCTTGAGTTTTTCCGGTAGTTCAGGATCATCTTCTATCGAATATGTTGAAGCGTTTAAACGCAAGAAGTCTAGCTGCTTCAACCAATTCAACGTGCTGTCGATCTTCTTCAACGTTTCGTGGGCACGGTGCCATTTTTTCATCAGGGCGATTGTCGAGTTTGCAAAGACACCTAGCCCAACAATCTCAAGCGCAATATCGAGTTCTCGTACTCCAGCGTGCTTCTTCTGGTAGGCACTCACCTTGGCCATACACTTCTTAATCAAATCCATTGAGAACACTCTGCTTATGTCCTCAGGTCTCATCAGCGGTTTGCTTGCAGGCAACTTTGCAATTTCGTAAGCGATGGGTGGTTTGGGCTTTGTTAGGAATTTGAAGAGGCTGAAGTGGGTCAACTTTTTATGCGAAGAATTGTAGG